TTTACACATTTAAATATACAAGAGGTTAAGAGGATGGAAATGGAGAGTATGTGTGAGGAAAAGTTCTTTACAGAAAGCCCTTGTGTAAGTGCAACCCATCCAAGAGGGGTATGGGGGGAAATATCACAGTCCCAAACCCAGTGTGAGGGCCTCTAACAGGACCCACCGTAGGTGGGATGCTTGTTATTTGCAGCTGTAAAGCACGGTGGATCTGTGTCTAATTTGCAGTCCACAATAGTAAGGTAAAGAGCATACTCAGGGGAAATATTATACTCCCCTTCTAACTGTGGAGCACAGAGGCGTGAAACCCAGGGACCAGAATGTAATACTAGTAGAAATATCAGCTTAAAATTGTTTTTAAAAACCTCTAAGAGGGAAGCTTGACAGGGAAAAGAGACCCAAGTAGAAAGAAAATACAAACTGTACCACCAGGGGGCATATGGAAGCTGACCCAAGGAGAAGCACTGGTCCAGGCAAGGAAGTTCCCTAAGAAGAGTTGGTAGGAGAGTCTGAAGAGCTCATGATAGTGTCTATGAGAGCAATGGCTATCTGTATGGAAGTGATCACAAGGTAGTTTGAGTCAAATAATAAGTTTTCTATTCCTCTTATAGTTCCTCCATCTTCCCATTTCAACCTAGCCAGTTAACAAACTAGAGGAAAACAAAAAGGAAAAGAAATAGGAAGGACCACACACTTCTACTACCACCACCCGTTCCTCCTAAAAGTATGAAGCCCAAAGCAGCCTCCAGCTAGAAGATGGGAGATTTAACTTGTATCAAATATGAAGCTTTGATATTACACAAAGCTAAATATCTTTAATTACTGACTTGAGGCTTGAGTTCTGCAATTTAAAGTCACCATAGAATTAAGTAATAATGCCAGTGAAGCCTGCAGAGAATTTTCATCCAGGGACAGGGGAGTAATTACCTCCACTAGTGGAGCAGCTTTAAAGGACAGTAGGTCACATAAATAAAGTTGCTCTTATGATTACACCCAAGCATATGATCATCTCAATAGACACAAGAAAAGGATTTGACCAAGTTCAAAATCCTTTCATGATAAAAATCCTCAACAAATTGGGTGTAGAAGGAAATACCTCAACATATTAAAGGCCATATACAAGAAACTCACAGCTAACATCATGCTAAACAGTGAAAAGTTCAAAGCTTTTCCTCTAAGATCAAGAACAAGACAAGGGTTCCCACTCTTACCACTCATTCAACATAATATTAGAATTCTTAGATAGAGCATTAAGACAAGATAAAGAAATAAAAGGCATCCAAATCATAAAGGAAGAAGGAAAATTCTCTTTATTTGCAGATTATATTATTTTATATATAGAAAATCCTAAAGACTCAACCAAAAAACTATTGAAACTAATAAATTCAGTAAAGTTGCAGGACACAAAATCAACATATAGAAATCATTTGTGTTTCTATCCACTAACAATGAAATATCTGAAAAAGAAATAAGGAAAACAATTCCATTCACAACAGCATCAAAAACAACAAAATATGGGGCAGACCCGGTGGCACAGTGGTTAAGGACACACGTTCCACTTTGGCAGCCCGGGGTTTGTGGGTTTGGATCCTAGGCGCAGACCTACACACAGCTCATCAAGCCATGCTTTGGTGGCATCCCACATACAAAATAGAGGAAGATTGGCACAGATATTAGCCCAGCAACAATCCTCCTCAAGCAAAAAGAGGAAGATTGGCAATAGACGTTAGCTCAGGGCCTATCTTTCTCGCCAAAAGAAAAAAAGAAACCAATAAAATCCTTAGGATTAAATTTAACCAAGGAAGTAAAAGATCTGTACAATGCAAACTATAAGACGTTGATAAAAGAAATTTAAGATGACACAAACAAACAGAAAGCTATCCCATGTTCATGGATCTGAAGAACTAATATTGTTAAAATGCCCATGCTGCCCAAAGCCATCTATAGGTTCAATGCAATCCGTATCAAAATTCCAAAGGCATTTTTCATAGAAATAGAAAAAAAATCCTAAAATTTAGAGCCACAAAAGACCCCAAATAGCCAAAGCAATCCTGAGAAAAAAGAACAAAGCTGGAGGCATCACACTCCCGATTTCAAATATACTACACAGCTATTGTAATTAAAAAAAATATGCTACTGACATAAAAATAGACACAGAGACCAATAGAACAGAACAGAGAGCCCATAAATAAACTCCCGCATATATGGTCAGTTAATATTTGACAAAGGAATCAAGAATACTCCATAGAGAAAGGATAGTCTCTTCAATAAATGGTTTTGGGAAAACTGGATAACCACATGCAGGAAAATGACACTGGACCACTATCTTACACCGCTCACAAAAATTGACTGGAAATGGATTAAAGATTTAAACGTAAGATCTAAGACCATAAAACTCCTAGAGAAAATATAAGGGAAAAGCACCTTGACATTGGTCTTGCCAATAATTTTTTGGATATGACACCAAAAGCACAAACAACACAAGCAAAAACCAACAAATGAGACTACATCAAGCTAAAAAGTTTCTGCACAGCAAAAGAAACAATCAACAAAATGAAAGGACAACCCATGGAATGGAAAAAAAAATTTGCAAACCATATATCTGATAAGGTGGACATATCTAATTATATAAAGTACTTATACAGCTCAATAACAAAAAAATAAACAATCCAATTAAAATAGGGGCAGAGGAACTGAACAGACATTTTTCCAAAAAAAACATACAAATGGCCAATAGGTACAGGAAAAGGTATTTAACATGATCCATCATCAGGGAAATATAAATCAAAACCTCAGTGAGGGAAGAACTCACACCTGTTAGAATGGCTGTGATCAAGAAGACAAGAGAGAAGTGTTGGCAAGGATGTGGAGAAAAGGGAACCCTTGTGCACTGTTGGTGGGAATGTAAATTGGTGCCACCCCTGTGGAAAATAGTATAGAGGTTCCTCAAAACATTAAAAATAGAATTACTACATGATCCAGCAATCCCACTTCTGAGTATACATCCAAAGGAAATGAAAATAGTATCTTGAAGAGATATCTGCACTCCCATGTTCATTGCAGCATTATTCAACAATAACCAAGATACAGAAATCAACTGTCAACAGATGAATGAGTAAGCAACATGTGTGTTTGTGTGTGTGTGGGGGGGGAGTGTATAAAATGCAATATCTTTCATCTATGAGAAAGAAGGACATCCTGCCATTTACAACAACACGGCAACACATACGGGCCTTGAGGGCATTATGCTAAGGGAAATAAGTTAGACAAGAGAAAGATAAATACTGTAAGATCTCACGTACATGTGGAATCTAAAAAAGCTGAATTCATAAAAAGAGAGAGTAGAATGGTGGTTACCAGGGGCTAGAGGTGGGGAATAGGAGAGATGTTGGTCAAGGGGCACAAAAAAAAGGAAAGAAAATTAAAAAAGAAATATTAGTAAAAATGATTACTTGGTGAAGAGGGGAAGAATTCACTTTATTTTGCACTTACACACTTTTGTAAGGCCTGAATTTTTCTATCATGTTGTAGGTATTATGTTAAATATTTTAATGAAACATCAAAAAAGAATATACTATGCATAAATATGTGATGCACTTGTCCTATATTTTAGTAGCTTTTTGTCACATGAAAAGCCAACCTTGTATTACTAATGTAGAGTCTTACAAGCCATAAGTACTTAGTGAATGAATCAACAAAGTTCTAAGCGTGACTTCCTACATGAAAGAGATCGCCTACGCCAGCAGAAGACGGAAACGTTTCTGATGACAATCACCACAATCACACCCAAAATTCTTAACTCTGATATGTTTTTTATTCTTCCGAGTGCTTTATTTGTTCTCTGAATTAATAACCTCTGTAGGGATAAATAAAGATTACCTAAATAAGAACAAGCGCTACTTATTGACAGCAAGACAGTTATCCACCACCACTGATGCATTTGGCAGAGACTCAAATTAAAGGCAGCCTGAGGAGTGGGAAAGCTTCATGGCGGCGAAAGGGGAAAGTCTGTCCCGATGGGAGGTTGTTGGCATGGGGGAGCCGGAGGCAGGCTGACTAGAAGAGGGGATCTACCCCAAACACCACAAATCCGTAAATCAACAGTGTTAACAGAGGAATAGTAATATCTAAATATTGCAAAAAAGCGATTATCAAAGCCTCAGTATAACCTAAAAGTGTTTAGACTGTACTTTATTCAAATATTATATACGATACTGGATTCCACTGCATACCTCTGAGGAAAAAAATGTTATCGATATTAGCTAAGTAAAAGATTTATTTTAATATGTGAATTGATAAAAATCTATTCTTACTACTAAAAAGCCATTATAATTGTAAATATTTTCATTTTTAAATGAATGCCAGATATTTTAGAACCCAAACGTAACAAATACTTTATAAGAAAATTTGTTAATTTATCTAGACTTCTATGCAATTTTCATGACAAGAAACTAAACCACTCACAGGTTTTATGTAATTTTCTTTCTTCCTCGTTTTTGATCCTTCTGACGAGATATTTTTAATACCATTTTTCTTTAATCATTACAGAATATTGTTAACTATCAGCCTGATTGCAAAGAAAATGCACTGCGATACAAAGAAATCCTTAAATGGGGCATAATTCTCTCCATTCTACTTTTAAAGATTAACAAAACTCTGAAATTAAACTAATAAATAAGGGATGATCTGGGAGTTATTTCTTATGGACAGAGATAATTTTAAGCAGAAAAGTAAGCAGGTGAGCGGACGTGGCTATGATTAAGTCGGGGTACTTAGCAGAGTGATTCACTGAGCTCTCCGCCACTAATGAGCATATGTCCCTCAATTAACTAGTTACTAGTAATGTTTGAAGATCTCCATTTTCCATCTATAGATTGAGAGCCCAGAATACATAGCCTCTACATCCCTTTCTCAGTAAAATAATGATACTGTATGAGTCCCTGGATATGAAGATCTGAGAGTTAAGTATGAACTAATGGAAACAAAAATGAATATCATACCTTTGTATTATCTTTCATCTTTGTTTTACATTTGTTTTGTTCCCTGGCTTCACGAAGACCTTTCTGAGTAGGACCTTCTGGTGCATTTTCCTTTTCAAAACTAGGAACAACTACAAAATAACACAATTTTTTCTTAATATTTATACTGTTTGAAAGAAATATAATTATAACCAAAAATAGAAAGCCAAAGTCATCATACATGTATTTTTTAAAGTATTAAACTAATAATATTAAAAGTATACCAAAATGTTTTAAGTCTCAAATTCATTTCCCAAAAATCCAGGGTGGCATTACTACAAAGTTTTGAAATGGCATGGCAAGCCAGTTAGAGAGCATAGAAGCCAATCTCCAATTACATTATATCCAAGTTCCTGTTATCATGAGGTCTTGTGTGTTTATAAACAAAGTTGAAGAAGGTCACAGGAGAGAATGGCAAACAATGACAACATTTCCCAAGTGGAACTAAATAATAAATAAGAGATTTTTTAAAGAACATTGTATTAATAAAATATTTTCTATGCTTCACAATGTTGAGAAAATAAGAAAGAAAAACACAGGGTAAGATTCCAATATCATTCTAACATTGGTCCCAAAACTCTCCTGGACATAAAGAGCAGTCCTAATGGAATCATCTGAGGGAAAAATAAAAGTCATAGGAACAGTCTCTTTCTTTTCCACATCTTTCCATATATGTACACATGTTTAGGTATACATAATTCTCACCTGTATTTCTAAACAGCAAGCTGATTTCAAATAACTAATGAGGTTATAGTAACTCATACCTCAATGTTCTAACTTACAACTCTAGATTTATAATAGAGAAAAGATGATGAGCACAAAAATATCTGGATGGTTTCAACATCAAGGCTTTCAAAGAATCCTGAGGTTCTAAAGGCAAGGAAGCACACGGCTGGCATTGAGTTTCTTTCCTGATCTGCCTCCTTTTCCCTATCCGGTACCAGTTCCAGACAAAGAAGAAAATCCTCAAAATAACCCCCACAATCACATAAAAGCAGAACATTGCATAACTTAGTTCTACATGAAACTACTTGAGACACTCCAAACCCTTGGGCATCCAGACTGCCTGACCCCCTCAGCGGTGCTGCACATCAGACCCCCAGAAGCTGGGGAGCCCAAGGAGGGAGGAAGGCGACGATGCAGCTCGCTGAGAGGAAGGGAACTGTTTTACTCTGAATTCTCGTTTACTGCATTTTCCTCTTCTATGACCAAGGATGACAACCTGATAAGGATAATAATTTAAAGTAATAATTAGCATCTATGCCTCTTTGATCTTTCACTATATACCAGCCACTGGTCTAAACAATTTACACGTATTATTTCATGAAATCCTGTCAAAACTCTGTGAAGGTCATTATCTTTTGCTCCCTTTTATATATGAGGGGAATCTGTATAGTAATATCTTTAGAGAAGAAAGGAGAAAGCAGTAGGGAAAGAAACCCAGGAGCCCAGCAGATAATTCTAGAGATATGAGCAGAGCTCAAGTAGTATGCAATACGTACATTACTAAGCACCACTTCCTAAAAGAAAGAAAATAAAAAGTAAGAAACAAACAAACAAAAATGGCAAGGATAACAAATGAAAGCCAAAAACAGAAAAGGGCTTGGTTTATTGAGTATACATAATTGTTCCACAAACAAAATGAAATTACAAAAATTCACACTTTAATAATAGTTTAGGAAAAAATCCAACATTTGGAACAAAAGCATGAGAATAAACATTGCAGAATGTATGTAGAATTGGCAGAAAATAATGCTTCTCAATTGTTTCTCAATGCAGCAAGAATAAACGTGATTTCCAGTCTTCATGAGATAAACATTGCTTTAACTCACACACAGATTTGTAGAGCAAATGAGAGGCTCAAACACTAAATTTTGTGTCACCCTCATGGTTAAGTGCATAAAATTCTCCAAGTCCACATAGTGCCTCTTAATGTTTAGTAATATCCTAGCAAAATCCATGGCTCTGTCTTTGGCATCCTCATGTTTATCATTGAATGCTTATTAATGACAAGGCCTATAGTACTGACTGGTGCTATGCAATTCCCCACATTTTACTTGGGTACAATCAACATCTTAAGGAAGGCAAATTTCTTAAGAGAAATAAAGCAATCATCAAATAAATAAACATTTTAATTTATAGAAATTTTATTTATTATACCTCCAGTGCTAAATTTCACCCATTCAACCATTCCTTCTTAGATGCACATTCGACCAATGCTAACTGAAAATTTTTCAGGCCCCTGGTTAAATGTAAGAAATGCATGAATATATTCATTTAACAAATAAATACCTAAGAATGTATGTTGTGCCAGTGCCTAACTCCCTTATAGATTAAACACAGCTGAAAAGAGAATTATTTAACTAAAATAAGGTTTTGAAGAAATTATCCTTAATTTAACCCAGGGAGATAAATAGAAAATATCTAAGAGATCAGGACATATGTAAGCTAAAATAAGGAGATCAAGTACACACCTAATTGGAATTCAGAAAAAGGTAACAGAAGTAAAGAGGAAGAGGCTGTATTTGAAATGATAATATCTCTTTCTCAACTAGATCATATATTACATATATGTAGTCATATGAAACTGGCATCTCATAATGCAATTCTGAGCAGCAACAAAATACCCAACTTAACAAGCAGCAATTAATTATCAACTAAAAACCTTAAGGAATAATTTGCTCTACTTTATATAACATCTATTTCCTCTGGGAAGCTCTGAAGTCAGCTTCTACAGTTTTTCACATCATCAAACATTTCGAATTTCTGGCTGTTCATCCTGCATTCATAATTTCCTATCACAAATTACAAGATATATTAAAATACAATTATGTATACCTTTTTAACCTGCTTTGGAAATAGGCATTACTGCATTCAAATTGCAATTTTATAGAAAATGAAAGTAATATAAGTTAATAACTAACAAACATAGCAATCAAAACCAGCATATTCATAAACTTTTAGAAATTAGTAACTCGCACAAAAACAGTTTTATCTCATAATATGTAAACTAAAGTGCGGTGTGTGTAGTTTCTTGCAAAGATTTGGTGCAAATTACTTTTCATAGCAACAAAGAAAAACATAATACAAAACTGTCACTTCAAATATCTAGTTAATAGTAATTCACTATTTCATAGTTTCTCCTGGGAATTTTTCTATTATTCTACATACCATACAAGAATAAATAAGTTAATCAATTAAAAACCCTTTTCAGGTAAGACAGTTGAGTACTAAAGTATTAACAATATTTTCTCTGGGTGGTAGCAATTATAGATCGTTTTAAAATACATTTTATAATTTAAAAATTCTCTATAATAAGCATGTCACTTTGATAGTCAAAAAATATGGTGTGGGGACCAGCCCAGTGGCATAGCAGTTAGGTATGCGCACTCCACTTTGGTGGCCTGGTGTTTGCTGGTTCAGATCCCGGCGTGGACCTACACATTGCTCATCAAGCCATGCTATGGCAGTGTCCCACATATAAAATAGAGGAAGATAGACACAGATGTTACCTCAGGGCCAATCTTCCTCAGCAAAAAGAGGAGGATTGGCAACAGATGTTAGCTCAGGGCTAATCTTTCTCAAAAAAAAAAAAAAACCACAGCATGTTTAAAATTCTTTGATAACTCTAATCCAAATGAATCTAATTTTTGTCTTATCCTCTAAATTTAGATTAACAGTCTTCTTCTTAAAGCTCAGAGTAAATGACAATCAATTCATTGTTCCCTAACTACAGAGTGAATAACACTTAATCTGAAGCATCTTTACTGTCATATCAATCTCTGCCCAAAATAAATGGATGGTTGGATAGATGAATAACAGCCAGAAAGACAGACAAATAAAAGATTTTAAAAATTAAACCAGGGGCCGGCTCCGTAGCCGAGTGGTTAAGTTCGCACACTCCACTGCAGCGGCCCAGGGTTCGGATCCTGGGCGCGAACATGGCACCGCTCGTCAGGCCACATTGAGGTGGCGTCCCACATCCCACAACTGGAAGGACCTGCAACTAAGATATACAGCTGTGTATAGGGGGCGTTTGGGAAGATAAAGCAGGAAAAAAAAAAAAAAAAGACTGGCAACAGTTGTTAGCCCAGGTGCCAATCTTAAAAAGAAAACAAAAAATTAAACCAAAATAAGAAAATGAAGAAGGAGGGAGTTAAATATATGAACATAGTTATGAAAAACAGCAGGATTTATGAGGAACAACCAGTTAATTAATAAACCAATTTCTTTTCAAATTATAATCCCTGGTTAAGTAAGGCTCCAAGTTGATCAATCAGTGATGACAGTCAGATCACACAGCCAAATGCTGACCCCAGAAACTTAGGCAAAGGTACCGCAAGTCCCACATCTGACACTAGAGTACACGTTTCTAAGAAGCACAAAATTATGCAGTACAGAATTCAAGAAGTTAATTGTATTCAGTAATTGGGATCATGCAACTGAAAGAACCTATTTCTTCATGTTGGGTTGGCATTGATTCCTTCTGATCAAAAGCCCCTTCAAAATATCATGAGATCAAAATATAATTACAAACTTGATCTTCAAAGTACCTTATTACATGTCAGCCTAGAAAAATATGCAATGTGTTCATTCATGAATTAGACTAAATACCAAGAGATAATTTCACAGAGGAGTTATCTATAAACCACCAGTTTATTTTAATAGAGATGACAAAGATAAACATGTAAAATGACAAGCTATTAGAGTAGAAGGTAGCATTAGAAATTAACTGATGCAAGCATCAACTCAATGCACAAAATTCCTCAAACTTTAAGCCTTCAAACCTTCTTATATATTTTTTTTTTGGGCACTCTTTAGTCATTTTTTGGGAGTTAGAGTTCCTGAGATTATGACAACTTTATATCATCCTTTAATATTTATATCTAATTGTATTCTTTTTGAAAGTTATCCACATATGAAACAATTTTTTGATACAAATGAAAATACTTATTCTTTGTAAAAAAAAATGCAATAAGGAAAAAATATAGAAATAATCATATCACCCAAAGAAAATTATGTAAGCATTTTGGTGTGCATCCTCCAATAATTTTTCTTTGCATATATTTAACAGACATGCCCCTATATGTCTTTCTTTCTTAATATTGTAACATGAGCATTTTCTTACGTATCATTTTTAAAGACTTTCCCCGTACTGTGTGATCAACTCTATTTAAATATTCACTCATGGTTACACATTAAGATTGCCTGTATTGTTTTGTTACTATAGACGTGACTGCAATAAACATTCTTGTGCAGAGTCTCTTTACACATCAGTGAGTATAACTAATATTTCTTTAACATAAAATATTAGGAAAGGAACTATTGAATCAAGGCTAAGAAGAAATTTCAAATATGAGAATGCTATATATTGCTCTTAAGGTTTAATTAATAAGAGAACATCCTTAAATAGTCATCTGGAAACAACGGGATGTTATACTAAGAATACTCACCATTTTGCAGTCTTTCTATATTTTAGTGTTTCCCATCATTCTGTTTTAAATCAATTTTATCGAGGTATAATTTACAGACAATAAAAAGTGTACATTTCCCCCAAGTAGAGTTGGGGAAATTTTGACAAAGATAAGTAAGCATATAACCACCATCAAAATCAAGACATAGAACATTAGCACCACCTCCAAAATTATTATTTTCTTATCTTTTACCTACCTTATAAACAGTACCTTGCAATGCTATAAATTTTGTTTTTATTAGTCACTTTTCTTTTAAGAAAATTAAGAAGAGGAAAACTTAATCTTTACATTAATCAGAATTTCACACTTCTAAGTCTCTGTATTCAATTCTGTAGATCTGCGCTTCCTTCCGGCATACTTTTCTTTCAGCCCAAAGAAAATTCCTCAGTATATCCTGCATTTCACAAAGACTTGCCACAAAATCTCTTAGCTTTCATTTATATGAAAATGTCTGTACTTCACTCTAATTTTTGAAGGATCTTTTTATTGGATATAGAATTCTGACCTAAAATTTTCCTACATTTTAAAGATGCCATTTCATTGCTTCTAGATTCCATCATTTCTGATGAGAAATCAGCCTTTATTTGTATTATTGTTCCCCTGCATGTAATATGTCTTTTCTCTTTTGCTGCTTTCAAAAGATTTTCTCTCTTAAATTTTCAACAGTTGAATGTAATGCATCCAGGCATGATTTTTTGTGTTTATAGTTAGCTGTTTTTTGAGGGGTCTCTAAGTTGATGTTTTACATCAAATTTGGAAAATTTTCAGTCATCTTTTGTTTAAATATTTTTATGCCCTATTCTCACTCTTTTCCCCTTTGAGATTGCAATTACATACGTGTTAAATAGGCAAGTTTCCCTTCCATTATTTTCTCTCTCTCCTTTAGAGGATTTTTATCAATGTCTCTTAAAATTCACTGACACTTATCATCTCCAATCTGTTGTGAAGTATAAAATTTTCATTTTAGTTATTGTGTTTTTCAGTACTAGAATTTCTATTTCCTTTTTTTTTTTTTTTGGTTTCCGTTTATGTGCCAAGATTCCCAATCTCTTCACTCATTAATGTCATATTTTCTTTTAAGTCCTTGATCATATCCAAAATAGGTACTTTAGCATTTTTATCTGCTAAATCCAACACCTGGGTGATCTTGGTGTAAGTTTCCATTTATCACTTTTTGTCTTGATTGTAGATCACATTTTCCTGTTTCAATAACATATCTAGAAGTGTTTAATTATGTACTGGGAAACTGTCTTCCTCTGAAGGGCATTGGTTATTGTTCTAGTAGGCAGTTTAATTTTTTGACGATCATCTTGAAATTCTAGGCTTAATTTTATGCTTTGTTAGGGTGGATCCATGGAAATCCCTAAATATTTCCCAAGGCTCTCTAACTTTGCAAGATTCAAACTCTAACCTCTGTCTCCCCTAGAAATTCTGGGTAGGCTTTGTTGTGGGCTTTATTGGGTGGGTATAGAATGCTGAATGTTAAGATGGTCTTACAGTGTTAAAGAGGTCTCTCCATCCAGGCATGGCCAGAACTCCAATGTCTCTCATCACTGCTTAACCTCTAGAATCCCTGGGCCCCTCTTAGTCCAAGAGAATCTTCTCTCTCCGGTAGGTCTCAGGCAGTCTTGCATGTGTAGCCCAGCCGTCAACTAAGGACTCATAGTGAACTCCCTCAGAAACTGGGCACTATTCATTGCAGCACTCTCTCATCTGGTGTCCTTTCCTAAGATCTTGTTGCTTCAACAACTTGTAAACTACGACCTTTGCCTTTTCAGATCATGGAGGACAGCCATGCTCTTCCTGACCTCCACCTCCATAGAGCTTGCTTTGGAAATTTCCTCAGTCACAAAGCCGTGGTGATGGCTCAAGTTATAAATTTTCCTTCTGTCACTTGCCTTCTGTGATTTGTGCTGTTTTCCAGTGGCTAAAAGTAGTTGTCTCATCTACAGAGTCTAGTTTTTAGGGTTATTTATGGGGAGAAGGCTAGTCTAGCACCAGGTACTCCATCACGGCCAGAAGCAGAAGTCCTCCATTATGATTTACTCATATTTTTCCCTAAAATTAATCTATACAGTATCATACCTATATTTCCCCTTGATCATTTCATTAACATTTTAATTTGTAAAATAGTTGCCAAACCATTTATTCACTTTTAAATATCTCTAGAATTTTGAGCTCTAATAAGGTTGAGAAATCACTAACCAATATTGTTAGAGTTTCATCACATTTTACTTTTACCTCTAATTTCAGGAACATAGATATCATGTCCTGTATCCATAAGCCTCCACGATGCTTGAAGTCCAGAAATCTAAAAAACAAAATTCAAAGATGGGGGGTTATATACTAAATGACTCAAAAAAAAGTTTAAAAATGTAATGTTTAAATATTGTTTGCAAAATATAAAAAATATTAATCCCTCTTGGATTAATTTCTCTGTATTTAAAAAAATTAAACGTGAACTGCAACAAAAGAAAAACATACTTTTAAGCTTAAATTCAATTCCACAGGCAATTATCAAGTATCTATATGGATAAGCATCTGAAACATTTATTTGATAGCATAGTTTCTTGAATCAAGAATACTCGCTGCACACTTTGAATGACAATCAGGTCTCTCCTTTGAGAGAGTTTCTTCTCTGTCAAAATTGCTTAACAAAACTTAATTCACCTTTATGTCCATAAAAGATGAGGTAAGCATTAGTTGAGAAGCAAAATATGAAAAGACTGTTGTTACTCCTAAAACTTTTAGCTCATTTTCCACTCACAGACACTCCTTGTTTTATGAAACATATTTTATAATTAAGAAGATTTGTTAGTTGGGTGGCATACCATTTACCTATATTTCCCAAACAATAGATTTAAATTCAAAATTCAGCCATATAAAGCTATCTCATCCCTCATTGTATATGATTATACCAACACAAAATACCATCTGTTTAATTATATACAGATATACACATTTTTCTACTATCACTGAGTAGCAACATGTCTTTATTAATAGAAAATAGCAGATAATAAATTGTAACCCATGGATTAGTGCTCATAAAATACCCGGTTAAAAAAGAATGGAAAACTTCATACCTGTTTTTAGAAGCCAAATGGATTATAAGATTTTTTTAAATGCACTTCTTATCTAGAATAGTGTAAAATTTACATAAAAGTTGAAAATATAGTACAGAGACCTCCTGTATATACCGCACCCTGTTCTCCCTGTTAAGGTTATGCATTACCATGGGACGTTTGTCACAAGTAATGAACCAATATGGATACGTTATTATTAATGAAAGTCCATATTTTGTTCTGATTTCATTAATGTTTTACTAATTTAATTTTTCTGTTCCAGCATCCCATCCAGGATGCTATGTTACATTTAATCATCGTGTCTTCTTAGCCTCCACTGGACTGGAACAGTTTCTCAGACACTCTCTGATGTGGATGACCTCAACAATTTTGAGGAGTACTGGTCAGGTAATATTTTTCAAAATGTCCATAAATTTGGGTTTGTCTGATGTTTTCTCATGGTTAGACTGGAATTATAGGTTTTGGGGAAGAAGACCACAGAGTGGAAGTACCATTATTGGCACATCACATCAAGGGTACATGATATCAACACAATTAAACACTGATAACATTAACCTTGATCATCTTCCTGAAGTAGTATTTGCCAGGCTTCTCCACTATAGAGTTACTTTTTTCCCATTTCCACTGTACTTTTGGAAGCAAGTCATTAAGTGCAACCAACACTTAACAGCTGAAGAGTTAAGCTTCCCTTCATTGAGGGGAAGAATATCTACATATGTCATTTGGGCTTCTTCTTTAAGGAAGGTATTTTTCTTCTCCCGCATTTATATACTCAATCATTTATTTACATCATTATTAACTCATAGACATTTATTTTATACTTTAGATTATAATCCAGTACTACATTATTTATTTCATTGCTCAAATTGTTCCAAATTTGACCACTGGGAACTGTTTCAGGCTTGATTCCTGTAATGAGTCTGACTCCATTTTTTGATGTTTGACTGCTAACAGCTTTTAAGCTTTACTCACCCAGTTTTCTTTGTGTCCCAATCTGCACGAGCTGTTAAGAAAGCCTGGGTGCTGCCTCCTTTGGCATTGGTGGGAGATTCAAACCATACAAGCCCCTGCTCTCACATGAGAACTCTTGCCCTGACCCCCCAATTCTAACCACAATAAAAGCCAGTCTCCTTTCCTTGCTTTCTCATTTCAGACTAGCATGGCAGGCATGTGCTGCTCTCCCCAGAGAATTAACATATGTAAATAATAAATGTTTTCATACCCTCTTGGTGAGTGTATGGCATCATCAGGCTCAAAATTCAAACCAAATTTGGTTGGTGGTCCATCTACCTCTGTAGACACCCACAAAAGTTCTTCTGTCCCTTGACATACCCCATTGTTTTGTTGGGTATTTTCTTTCTTCCTTTCTTTCTTTCTCCCTTTCTTATTTACTTTTTGAACAGCTCCTAACTTTCTAGCACAAGATCCTCCAAATGGTACAAGTTCATCTTGTATTTTCTGTGCCCAGCCTACAATCAGCCACTTCTCCAAGGAGCCCTACTTCCTTTTATTAGAGAATGGTATTAGAAACTGCTATCTGAGCACTGGGTATATTTGTTGCTATTGGAGTGTCATTACTTCTAGACCCTCTCAGCAGACAGACCTAGGAAATACATATAATTTTTAGAATATCTCCTGAATTAGAGCCTCATGATACAAAAAAGATAAAATGTAATTTGTTATTTATACATACACTAACAAATAAATTATATTTTGTCTTTTTTCAAACATGGGGCTCTAATTAAGAATTTTGAACATTTTCACTAATTTTATAAAACTGAAAATAATTACATTATAGATTTTTCTACAAGATTTAAATAAATCTAAAAGTTGTTACACTGTTTATTATCTACAAAAAGAATCTGAAAACACATACTATTAGACTTTTGTCCTCTCATACTGTATTTTCAATCTTTTATATATAAACTGAATAACATTAAATATTCTAAATTCTAACCCTTCTTTATGCAAAGTATTTGAGATATCTGTATATTTAAAGAGAAACATAGTGAGCTAAATGTTCATTAAGATAAGGCTTTTAAGGAAGTGATGATTAGGTATCCAGACAGAAAACATAAGATACTTCTTACTGATCTAAGCTCACATCCTAAAAGTTTTGGTTAGAATTGAATTCTCAAAGCATAACTACATCAAATACTGAAATAAAGACATAATCAAAAAATAAGCATAAAAGTTGATATATCTTCAACGTTGGATCATAGAGGAACTTTTCACGTATTTTTAAATATTTTCACTTTAAAATATTTTATATAAATTCATTCTACAGCTTCACAACACACTTAAATTCAAGTTAAAAGGTTAATCCATGGCTGTATAACCAGAAAAAGAGACTTGTTAGCAATGAATCATTCTCTGTGTGAAGGGTTCCCAAAAAGGTTCAGTTCATTAAATGGCAACCTTGGCTTGTTCTCCAAAGACAGAGCTGATAGGACTGAGACTATATTCCCAGTCCTAATTTGGAGAATATGCTAATTGATCCTAGGGTTAGACTGGTGTAAGGGATATCTGACAGTCATTTTGGACACTCAGCACCTTGGGTTTAGTGAATTGTGAATCTTCTACCTTTCACTATAGATATCAGATACTTATCCATTCTTTCTCGTCACTAGGATACTAACAATACTGCATAGGTTCCATCAATCATGTGTACCCATTTTGGATCTTAAACAAAATCTGCTGACGTAAGGAAGCGTGGATAATACAGAATCCATCCTGAGAATGGCAGCTGCCACGTCTACTTTCTGTTGACAGCCATAAAACAGATCTGGAAGAGCATCCAAGTGCCCAGTACTAGCATTGTCCATAGTGAAATCTATGATGGCAGAAATGGCGTATCTTATGCAAATATGACTTCCTCAAATCATAGTGAATCTAACATCTTGAACAGCAGACTTGATAGACAGAGGAAAGCTATTTCTAGATCCTAACTGCTCCTTTTTAGATAACAGGAAATAAACTCTTTAGAACTTTCCCATTAGTATTCTTCAAATTGAGATTTCTTTTAGGATAAAAGTGGAAGCTATTATACTGCATGACAAAAGGTGTAAATTAGTACTGTCTGGGACAAATGGGGATGTAGAGTGACCAATAATGTAGAAGAGGACAGGAAGCTATCCCATCCAATAGAACAAAGAAGTATAAAGGGTTCAGATATGAATGACCTGGTTCATCTCTCAAGCTAAAAATCTAAGTGGGGGATTTGTTGGAAGCAAAGGACACAGAAAGTCGGAAAGTTCAGGGATACTCCGAGCATAGGCTATACTTCCCCCTACCTGCTCAGAGAATGTTCTAAGAAAATTGACAGCCTCTCAAAGAGAGCTTCATATTTTGCATTGTGCTGGAAAAATATAATACCCTCCAAGTGGTGTCTGAAAATTGACTGAAGGAGGTGTGTCTATGTAGGTAGATTTCAAATGATTTCCAAATTGTCCACGGCTTGTGTTTGCAGTATAGGGAAATCAGAAGTCTCAACAGGTCTCAGCGGGTATGTGAAAATTTTAACATTTGAAGCACTAAACCAGAAAAAGGATGAGAGTCCGGACAATGAAGCCACATATGCCAAGGATCTCACAGATGCTGTGGCAGAGGCCAGGGAGTTAGCAAGTTCTTTTTGGTTCGCACTCAAAAGAACCACCCAGAACCACAGACCCCAACACCAAGAATATGACCAAACCAGTCACACTACATGAGAAAGTGAAGGCCAAGAGGATAGTATGCAGACTTCAGGCCATATGGAAGCATAAGTGCCCCTTTGTACTAGAAACCATCCAGGGAAGAATAAGGATAAGAAAATGCCATTTGAAGACAGAAAATTAACACTGATAGTTATGTTTTAGCTAAACAGTCAGTTAATATATCATTCAAACACCCTGTGTTGAACTCAGAGACTGTTTTAACCAAGAAAGACCTAAACAGTCTTTAATAACAGGTCATGTTTTCCTTTGCCTTCTGCAGGAATAGGAGTTCAAGGACAAAATAAAATAAGTTGCAGGGGATAAAGATAAAGTTTTTTGCACATCTGAATGGTAGTGTGTAAAATTCAACTGTGCCTCATAGAGAGAGTGATTTTAATTTTTTAAACATCTTTTCATTTTAGATACATATCATAAGGCAAGTAATTTTATCTCTATTTAATAGGCAAGAAAATAGACATATATGTAAAATGACTTGAATGTTTACTTACGTGGCTACTACGCAGCACAGCTGGGACTCAGACTTACCACTCCCAATTCTTAGCTCTTTTAACCAAACCAGTGAGGGGCAATCGGAAACCCAAAGAACGAATGTGGCCTAAATATGTTCTCATTTACAGCCTTTGATCTAACCTCAGAAATTCCTCTCATATTAGAGAGAGAGGAACGGATGGCCCTTCCAGGAAGACAATTCAGCCCGAATCTCACAGAAGATGAGTGGCAGATCCAGTACTGGACAGGGTACAGATGCAGAAATCAACAGTCTCAAGGGGAGTGTAGGCACTTGCCAGCACTGATGCCTGAAAGGCTCTGGTATCCTTGAATAGTGAGACGCCATCTGATGGGTCTGTCAAAGATGTCAAAGCATATGTGGTCACTGGGAATATATGGCAGCCCCTGATGGATTCCTCCCTGGAGAAGGGTAACAGGGAGACAAGCATGAGACCACGGGATAAGAAGAGTTAAGATGGGTAGCAAAAGTCTAAGCTGGGCCTGTGGCAGGACAAGAGGTAGGAGTGACCTGAACCCAGCTCACTGTGCTCCAAGACGTAGAGCTGTGCCTCTAGTTGGAAGGCGAGGGGACAGGTTAGATGAAGAGGAGCAGGGATATGAATTCTGAAGGTTTGACATATAACGCCATAAAAATGTAAATTATTATTAAACTCATTGTACGCAATATTACTAATAATATAATTCAGACTTTCAAAAATATAAAATTAAAATTCAAGCACAAAGAAGCACAGAAACAAGCGATGTTTTACATTTTAGTAGCTAGGAATTACACTCAAGAAAAGACAAAATACACTTGATTAAAGTATGTCTTAATAATAAAATCATTCAAGGAAGAGTATAACCATCATGAAAGCTTTTGTAGCTTCTCAAAGTTTAACCAAAAATGAAAATCTCCAGAAAACAATGAAAGAATGTTAAGCACAGATGCAGTTTTTTTTAAAGATTGGCACCTGAGCTAACAAGTGTTGCCAATCTTTTCTTTTTTCCTGCTTTATCTCCCCAAATCCCCCCAGTACATAGTTGTATATTTTAGTTGTGGGTCCTTCTAGTTGTGGCACACAGTTTTTTATTTTCCAAAAAACTGCTACAAATTTTTAACGTGGCCCATTGACATTCTGTTTTATTTTTCTGAATTCTATACAAAAGGGTCCTCATCACTGCCCTAGGCCTAACCTATGCAAAAAGGCTGCAGGAAGAATGGAAAGGAGGTCAATAGCAAAAATGACTGGAAACTGAGTCAATAACTAGGCGTGTCAAATAGTTATTATCTCAAGTAAGTTTCACAACAATGTGAAAAGGTAGGTCATTGTGACTACACTTTACATGTGAAAAATATGAGTTCCAAGAGTTTAAGTAAGGTCCATGTTTATGGCTATCAAAGCTGGCATTTAAACCCGAGGTTGTCTGACCACAATGGCTGAGTTTTGTCCTCTAACTATACTTTAATAATCTGCTATAAATTTATGTTTTAGTTAAATAATATTTAACTTAATAATAATCTTTATAGGTTTAAAATAGATAAAATACTTTTTCTGAATGTTTCCAAATGAATCTTTTTTGCAACATAGCAATTGGTAGAAACTTTTTTATATTTATCTCAGAAACAAAACCACTATTTCTACGTGTGTTATAAAAAAAATAAATGGTTAAAAATCACTTTGAGGTAACTTCGACGGTCTCTTTACCTGCTTGACTGCTCTGTCTCTTTCCAAAGAGGTCAGCATTTTCTGCTTCAGTAAAGTGTGGTGCTTCTCATGCAACACCCTTATGGTTGGTTCATAAGACGCATAATGTAACTTCAACCTACGAAAAATAAAGGGCATCTTAAAGGTTAATTGAGTTAAATCAGTGACTTCCATCTAACTTTTGTTTTCCTTTTTTTTCATTGGAAAAAAATGAATAAGCATATAAAGGTCAACACAACCGAGCCAGGAAGTGCAAGAAGTAGTACTGGCATGCAGCTTCCCTGCGCGTGACTGTGCTGAAGTCCCGCAGCCTGCCTGCAGTAGCACAGAGAGTGGGAAGAGGGTAAAACCTGAGACCTTTCCAACCAAAGGTGCTATGATTCAGACTCACTAATCATAGGTGTGTGTATACGTGCACACACACACAAAACTATTAAATATTACCTTTGAGCTTTTCCTCTGGGCAAATGGGTAACTGACCCTGATGAAGGCACAGCAATTATTGATCTTTGGATAAGAAAAAGCTTAGCTACCTTTAAAGAACGCCTACGTGACTTCAGAAGAGCCACAGGGCTCTTTATGGTCCTGAGTGTAGAATAATTCCCAAATTTAAAAGAACGAACTTTTAAAATGAAGTACAATACAAACACAGTTCTAAAAAGAGACCTGCATAAAAAGGGAAATTTAGATGAAGTAGTATATATTCAACACACTTTCAATGTTAGGGCAGATGCAAAGTGTTGACCATCTATCACGTTCCAGGCACCATATCAGGTACTTTATACACATTAATCCAAGATTTATTATCATCATTTTTACACAAAAGAAAGAAAACTATGATGGGCACCTAAAGGTAAATGGTACAGCCAGGCTTCCAATGCTTACTTAATTCCAAAATCCTAGCTCTTTCCATTATATCATTCTACTTCTCAGTTAAGGTTTATGCTAAAAAGAAAACAAATCATTTTGAACTTTTATTCTGAATTTATCTGGACATATGAACCAAAAAAAATTAGACCAAGATATGAGACCAAAAGTATTGATTAGTCAAAAAATAAACATTCTCAAGGTCTTTTTTTAAAGGTTAATGTAAATCTCTCACTTAAAGTGGTGCGTTATTCCTACAGAGGTTCAATTAAAGAAAAATCAGAAAAACTCTGGGTTCTAATATATTGCTAAGATTGAGAGCACATTGATTCTGAAACTCCATGCAACAGACTATGCTTAAGAAATGGAAATGGTTTCAATAGCCACAATAACCCACAAAAGACAGCAATTATCATTGCTACCCTTGAGCTGCACTGTCCAGTAGAGTAGCAACTAGGCAAATGCGGCTATTTAAATTTAAACTTAAATCAATTAAAATTAAATAAAATTAGAAATCTAATTTCTCATTTGTACTAGCCACCTTGCAAGTGCTAGCACATGTGGCTAGTCGCTATTGTTTTGAGCAGTGCAGACATAGAATATTTACAACATCATAGAAAGTTCTATTGGACAGCACTGCCCTAGAATAAGCAAAAGAGAATTTTAGTTAAGGATTATAAATTCTTTTCTTGTGTTTTTTTGGTTTTTTGCAGGAGGAGGGAAAGTCAATCTGAATAACGTCTTGAGAATAATTTCTGAAGGCCTTAGCATAAACGCAAAGTCATTCAGTATGTGCCCCTCCCCCCACCTCACCCCTGTCAGGCCATATCTGCACTTTGCTCTCTATGCTTACAATTTGGTGAATGTGCATGTCTCTTCGTGACTTGATGTCTTTGAACCATCTCTGCCCACAGCACCCTGCTGACCCCACTCCCTCACTCTGTTAACTCATACTTTAGAATTCAATTCCTGTGGAAATAGGTTCCTGAAACCTCTCATGCTCCAGCCTGGCTGGGGTGACCACCCTTTTGGTTGGCATAGCAACAAAGAAGTATATTCAGTACATTTCTGTTTAACTCATTCCTTATCACACATCCCAATAGTCTCTGGGAACCCTGACAGCAGGAGCCTAAACTTACTTTACTTGTGTTTCAAATACACAGCACAGTGTCTGGCACACAGTAGATGCTCAATAAGTGGTGAATACATAACTTTACCTGAAACCTTCTGCCATGGCCAAGTTGCTTAACACTAATGAATCAACTCTTTAATAGATATGCCAACAGATATGAGCAGTTTACCCTTTGAGGTCATTAATTAATTTGTTTTTTTCCTGGACTACTCGCTTGTGGTGCATTCGATGAAAATCACGTTCTTTCTGAGTTTTAAGAAGATCTTCTCTAGCCTTGCTGAAAAAGAAATAATAATAATGGTAACTTTAAAAATCACTGCTAATTTCTTTTTGAAAAATCATTCAGTCATCAGTTCAAATCAAGTATTAAGTCATTAAAAAGATAACTGAAAACAAAGATTCCATTTTAATTGTCACTGAAGGATATCAACCAATATCATGTATATGTGGGTGGGAGATGAATGGGCCAAAACCTGTGGTTTCAAAAATATCATTCATTCACATTTCAGTTAAGTAAAAGGAAATTAAACATATGATGCAAACATAACTTATCTATTTCCAAAGAGAATTTGTTTACAAGATGGAAATACATATAAAACAGGATAATTCAAAACAATTACAAATAAACAAAAAGATTTTACAAAATTTAATTCTGAATTTGCTTGAATATATAGTGAAAATATTTGGGGTTAGTTCTGATAATTGGCGAAAGAAAGCGTATTCTGGAAAACCATTATTTTATTCTGGTAATGCATATGACAAATATATACAACCTGTGGGTCATATTACTAGAATAGCTGGTAAATTTATAAGAAATTTCTTCAATATCAGTACTGCAATACAGCAGCATTCTTCAACTGATATATCTTCTGCAAATCACTGGCATAAAGCAAGCAAGAGTATTCTTTCTAAGCCCAGGCTGTATGTGAAAAATTAGTGGAAATTTTTCACCCATCTCCGTAACATGTTAGTTTCAATATTACAACATAAAATATAATTTATAATGAAAAGTAGTTATCTAACAGTCTTGGTTAACTGACAAAGTGCTACTGCAATGAGACTCTCACGTTCTGAAAAATGGATGGACTGAGTTAGAATGCTGACACGTCACATGAGGATCCAAATGGAATCAATCTGCTTCTCTGTACACAGTATTTCAAAATTCAGATTCACACAAAATAAATGCACACAAATAGATTTCTGCTTTAGGAGCTATGTCAGAGCAATGACTGAGGAGCAGTCACTGGGATGCTGCCAAAGAAGTGGGATGAGGTAGAGTGTTTAAGCTCCTGATAGAGCACATTATAATCAGTGAGATTTCCTGCTGCACGATCAAGTCGCATGTGGCATGTGGTGAAAACGTCTCATCTATTCTTCCAAGTTTCTTTCTTTCCTCTCCTCCTCTTTTTTTGGATGACCTGTATTGTTCTTTATCTTACTTCCAATATTATAGTCTTTATCATATGTAAATAAACAATGTGTCACAGTATTCATGGTCTATTCCAACCATCTAACTCTCAGCTTCATTTCCATGTCAACAATCTTCAAGGTGCAAGAAACTGTCGATTAAAATATTCAGTCTTGAAAACTCATCTGAGGAATATGCCAATTATTAGATGAACAAATAATTTGTTCTTTCCAGGGTTTACTCCTGTGTGTGTGTGAGTGAAGATGGACCAAGAAAGAGAGAACTTCTGCCACCACCAGGAACCTAATGAGTAGCAATTGAAGAGGAGCAGAGTTTAAGTAGAGGGACTGAAAAATGGCTGAGTTGACATTTTGTTGTGAAAACACAAGAACATCACCCGAATTCTCATTCATTTAGAAGAAAAGTATGTACAGTGACTTACTATCTTGCACATAGAAAACACTCAATGAATATTATTGTAACCATCATCATCATCATCTTACTATTACTATTTAGTAGAGTAGAATAGATACATTAAATTCCTCTAACAGCTAGATTTATCTACCTAAAATGGGGGGCATGCTAGAAGATAAATATCCTCTAACGAACCAAAAATCTCAGGATATATTATTATTAGTAACACTGTATCCCTTTATAAAAGAATTTAAACTTTTATGAATGTCTATTTTGAGTCTATTAAAATTGCCTTACTTTCAACAACTTGATGAATTATATATGTTTTATCTATATTTTTATATACATATATGTTTTATATATGTTTAATGTGCTTATGTTTTATCTTAACTGAAACATAAACCCATAATAGGTTAAAAAATACTTAGAAAAATAATGCTGCAAAGCTTCTTAAGCGGAACCACAAATGTGCAGCATTGCATCAACTCACTTTTTACATATGCATATAAAGGCCTATTTGTACTTATCCCAGGAAAGAAAGCATAGGAATTGATTGAAGTATTAGACCTTAAAGTTTTCCTGACCATTAAATTGGTTTTCAGGGACTTGCTTTCTGTTTGCACAAATGAAGTCTACTCAGTAAAAGTATTTAAATTCATTTCATGGTGATGCTTCTCCTATTATGACTTTCCTGCTGCCTATCTGTTTAATAAAAGGAAAGTAAAAGTTGTACTAAAAAATAAAGTTTAAAGTATTCATATAAGCAATTAATATTTTAAGATATATAGTATTTTCTTATTACATTAGTAGAGCATCTTTGTTGTTAAAAAACTTTTATTAAGATAGATATCAAATACAGAGATTCTATTTCAAGTACAACGAAGTAAGAGTTATTCAGTGAAACATTCTATTTTGATTTGTATACATAAAGAACGTACCTCATACCTGCTTTTTCTTAATGAAATATTAGAATAACTAACTTTCCCATATCAGAAAATAAGCATATCAAAATCTATAATTAAAGTATAAAATATTAAGATTACCATACTATAAAAACACTGTCCCCAAAAGTCCAAGTTTCAACATATGAATGTGATTTAAGTGTGCTTTAAAAAATTATTTTTAAGTGAATTCCCATAGTAACATAATTTTATTAACTGAATAGCTTTAACTAAGTATTTTGAAGTGACCATTTAATAATGGATTTATTGGGCTAAATTATCATAATTTGCCAAAAGGAAGCATAATAAACATTTTCTTGTTTACTGAGCCAAAGCAAGCCATCTTTGTCATGTATTCTTCTCATGTTCAAACTTTCATGAAAGTAATTTCTGATAACAGCAACATAATTACCAATTATTTCAGCATCTTCAATTGGTCATAAATGAATTAGTTTAACCCACTAAAATTAATATTGCACTAATTGTTGGATACACAAAATGGAATTCAACCAGATTAGAGGAAAGGTTTCATTATATTCTTACCAAAAGAAGGGGGGTATACGCATGTCCAGAAAAAAATACCTTCTTAATTTAACAAGCAATTACCTAAACACTAAAGCATGAAGTTTTATGGGCCTCATTATTATCTTTATTTCCACAGTGTTTGTTTCTGAAAGTCATTAAATAAAATTGGTCTTTGGAAAAGCTGGGTACTCTCTGACCTTTTACAGAAGTAAATTTTGTAGGTGAAATTAAGAGCCCTTAGTAAAGCACCTAATTTTTCCTCAAAATTAATTGCTATTTTAGTTTTCTTTACGTCTATATTTTCTGGAAAAAGGTAAAAGAAAGTATTTCGTTATTTTGAAAATGGTACATTTTAATCTTCTAATTAGTAATCCCAGTCAGTATTATTTTCCGTCAAATCTTCAGGATTCTCAATAAACCTTTCCTAGTCTGCATCACATTTCCTTGATGTAACAGCACAGCAAAGGACAACCGTACTGCAAATGGGGCAAGACTCGGCTTTACAGAAAGTTGTTTAAATTCCTGTCATGAAAGGAAAATAATGCCTACTCCAAAGGAATGCTATGAAAGGAGCAAAAATCATCAATTAACTACTCTAAAAATTATTATTAGCTTAACTAAAGAGCCAAAATGCTAACTGCACACATTCACTTACGCCCCTTCTATTTACCAGGCACAGTTATAGGCCCCGGGGATATGTTGAGCACAAGACACAGTTCCTATTAAATGGAGCTCACAATGTAACAACAAAATATATGCATTAGATAATTAGATGTAAAAAGCATAAGTTTCAAACTCTGTCATAAATATACAGTATTAAATTAAAGATAACCTACCTAAATGGAGAGATATACCACATAAATAGATTAGAAGACTAAAACTTATGAACACATTAATCCTTCCCCTCCCCAAAAAATGTATATGTACATATATGTGTATCACACACACACATACTCTTCCCAAATTAAGTTATGGATTCAACTCAGTCTCAATCCTAAAGCCACCCATGCCTTTCTATAGAAACTGGCAAAGTGACTCTAAAATTTATATGGAAATACTAGGACCTAGAATAGTCAAATCATCTTTGAAAAAGAAGAACAAAGCTGGAGGACTAACACTAGCTGACTTTAAGAACTTACTTAAAGCTACAGTAATCAGGAGTGTGGTATTAGCATAAGGACAAACAAATAGAAGAATGGAACAGAATGGAGTCTAGAAATAAACCCCAATTATAAAGTCAATTGATTTTCAACAAAAATGCCAAAGCAGTTTGGAGTATCCTCAGAAAATTAAGGATAGGTCTACCTTATGATCCAGCTATTTCACTGCTGGGTATTTATCCAAAGAACTTGAAAACACAAAGGCATAAAGATACTTGCACCCCTATGTTCATTGCAGCATTATACTCAATAGCCAAGACGTGGAAGCAACCTAGGTGCCCATCAAGGGACGAATAGATAAAGAAGATGTGGTATTTATACACGATGGAATACTACTCAGCCACAAGAAATGACGAAATCCGGCCGTTTGTGACAACATGGAAGGACCTTGAGGGTATTATGCTGAGTGAAATAAGTCAGAGGGAGAAAGCCAAATACCATATGATCTCACTCATAAGTAGAAGATAAAAACGACAAAAAAAAAACACATAGCATTGGAGATTGGACTGGTGGTTACCAACGGGGAAGGGGGGAGGGGGGAGGACAAAGGGGGTGATTAGGGTCACATGTGAGGGGACGCACTATAATTAGTGTTCGGGTGGTGAACATGATGTAATGTATACAGAATTCAAAATATGATGTACATCCGAAAAATATAAATATTAAATAAATAAATAAATAAATAAAAATGCCAAAGAAATTCAATAAAGGATAAAAAATCTTTTTAAGAATGGTGCTTGAACAACTGGATATTCCTACAGAAGGAAAATTAAACTCTAGCTCCTACCTCAAATTATATACAAAAATTAAAGATAGATCATAGGTTGAA